GGGGGGTGGAGGAGGCAGCTGATCAAATCTCTCTCTCCCTCTCCTTTCCTCTCTCTGAAATCAATAAAGATATATTTTTTAAAAAAGATGAGAGGAGGTATCACAGAGCACATTTCTTATCCTGCTTTTGCCTCGGGCCCTCTCTACAGCACTAAAGCTTTAGCAAGCAAATTAAAAATAAGAAAATTTCCATTTTCCCCTTAATATTACAATCATTAAGTAACAATGTCTAGTGAATGTTTATAAATTTTTTAAACAGATTGAAATAGCAAGACAAATATTATGAGAGCTATTCAAAACTGCAAGTACACCAGGTAAGTTTACCACATGCTCCAAAGTGTCAGATAACATGCATCAGCTCCACTTATAAATTATCTTCAAGTTTCAAGCAGCTGCTGCTTCAGGAGACTGGTTCCCAAATGATGGTACCAAAGAAAAACTTAACACAGTCTCTTATCCATAGCTTCGAAACTAAATATACCACACTGAATAAAAGTATTTTCTGGAATATACACTGGGTGGACAGTGAATGTCACAGCATGCTAAAGACACGTACCTATGAAAGTAAGCCATAGGAGTCACAGGGGGTCTATTTTACACTTTATTTAGTTGCCAAGCACACAACTATATGGCATTTTACAACAGACAGCTACAAACTGTGTACTTATTTTCTGCACATATCATGTGCACGAACTGTGAAAATAATGTGTTAAACCATGTAAAATGGCCAATACTGACCTAACTGAAGTTCACAGCCCAACTACGCTGAGATTCTGTGTGGGGGAGAGAACCTCTAACATCACGTCTTGGTTGAATATCTCTGCTTTATTATCTGGCTCAATATTATTTTAGCCACCAGATGACAAGACTAAAATAACTTTTAACACATGGCCCAAGTGCGTAACTCCAGCTCCTCCCAACTGTGAAATAAACAAAGAAAACTGCTGCTCAAATGAGATTAACTTTTAAGTCATTTAGCTGATATTATTATCATTTTTTAAATATATCTTTATTGATTTCAGAGAGAGGAAGGGGGAGAGAGAGAGAGAGAGAGACATCAGTGATGGGAGAGTCATTGATCGGCTGCCTCCTGCACACCCCAGACGGGGGGATCGAGCCCGCAACCCAGACATGTGCCCTGACCGGGAATCGAACCGCAATCCCCTGGATCCTAGGTCGATGCTCAACCACTGAGCTACGCCCAGCTGGGCTAGCTGGTATTATTAAGGCACCCTTTTTCAGCATATATTTCTTAGAGTTATAATACTCAATGAACAAACTCATAAGAGGTCAACATTTTTATTCCAGGACTAAATCCAAGTTTTAGGAAGCATTAAGCAAATTCTACAATATTTTATTAGTCCTATGGAACCCTGCTAAGCTGAAAAATCTGCTATACTCACATATAATGAAAAATCTATACTGATGTAACAGAGGTCTAGAATATTCAAATATTCCAGTTAGCCACTTGGCACCACATATAGCAGACACTGAATTTCCCAAACAATGGTAGGATTCTTTCAAAGTCTCGTGCCATTTGGACACATCCTCAACAAAATAAAGGTGGCAGCCAGAGTCTCTGATCCTCACAATGCTAGATCTTAGGTAACTGTCTTATAATAAATCTAAAGAAATTTGAAGTTTCAGCTTCTTTCACTAGAGCAGGTTTTTAAACTACCAGCCTAGTTCTCCAAGTATTGTGTATTCTAGAATATTACAGTAATGGCTATGAAGCATATGGGTCCATTTTGCTAGGATTACCTTCTCCACTTGGTTCAGAATTTTCTGGAAAGATTTTTAGGTAACATGAGATAGCAGAAACCCTCATTCCTATTCACAGAGGACCAGCTCTTCTGTAGCTTTTTATATATTTTTAAAAAGTATTTGTCCCTGGCAGCATGGTTCAGTTGGAACATTGTCTCGTACACCAGGAGGTAGTGGGTTCAATTCCCAGTCAGGACACATACCTGGGTTACAGGTTCGACTGCTGGTTGGGGTATGTATGGGAGGCAAATGATTGATGTTTCTCTCTCCCATCGATTCTCTCCCCCACCCCACTTCCTCTCTCTGTAAAAATTTTTTTTAAAAAGTATTTGTTAATAGAAGGAACACATGATATGCATGCCTGGGAGTCTGGAAGAGAAGGGTCTCACCCCATCTCTGGCAATAACTGACTCTGTATCTGAGGGTCCCCACATTTAACAATTCACTAAGACAATTCACCGTATAGTCATACTCACAGCTATGATTATTACAGGTAATAATAAAATAGTAAAAGAACACAAAGAAAAGCCAGCAAAGGGAAAAGCTGTGTGGGGTGAAGACCAGGGGCACCAGGCACAAGCTTCCTAAAGTCTCCACTGGTGAAGTCACACAGCACTTGGTTAATTCCCCCGGCAATGGGTCGGGAGGGACATGTGAAATGAGGTCTACTCACTAGAGTCTCAGTGCCTGGGGTTTTTATTGGGGCTGGTCACATAGACACCCTCTGCACAAAATGTCAGACTCCCAGAAGGAAAGCAGGTGTTGAGCATAACACCTGGGCAGCAGGGCAGTGAGCCACTCTTATCTCACTCTTTGGGAATACTGGGAACCCTCCCCAAATCCAAGTTTACAGACACCAGCCACAGCCAACTCTGCAGGCATTTCCACAATCGCCTCAGGCCTGCTGTGTCTGACTCCTTCCTGCACCCACCTCTGTAGATCTGTTTCACCGTGTCATTTCCCCGGATGCACTGGCTCACTACAGCAACCTCTGAACATGATACAGGAATCCCACTATGTAAGATGATCCCTTCCTGGCCTAGGCCACCATGAGATGAAGAGCAGGGTGAGGCCATCCTTGGAGCAGGAAAGAGTCTCACTGCCTAAGGCCTGTTTTCCCAACAATGATCGTGACATCATCAAACAGCCCTCTCCCTCCAGCCCCTCCTCTCCCCCCATCTGTGTCCTCCAATTTTGCCCAAGAGATTTAGTACTTCTGTCTTTACGTTTCTCTCTCACCATAAGTGTTCTCACTATCCATTCAAAATCTGGGAGGCTGAAGTTAATAAACCATGGGCATAAAAGTTCTATTCTCATAGATTACCTTTTGTAATGAAGAGCAGTTTTATTCCCATCTCACTATCTTGTACACAGCTCCAGGACCATGGTGAGAGCGACACTGGGGTCAGATAGGACTCGGTAAGAAAGAAGTATCGCCCCACTCAGCTGCTCATGGAACCCCTATCTTAGAGTGAGGGGCCCACTTCTGTCACATCTAATTAAGGGACATCAAGGCACATGACTCCTGTATATTTCAATATTCCATCCCATATTTAGGTGTTCTGTACTCTTTTATAAAACAGGATAAAGAAAATTAAAAGGCGAGTCAGAGAACAGGGCTTCAAACTTAGCTCTGACTTGTTAGCTGTGTGATCTCACTTCATGTCTCTAGGCCTCTGCTGTTTCCGTGGCTACAATGACAGGCTCTGACAAGCTGCTCTGTGAGTCCAGTCCACATCTAACTTCCCGGGGTTTTCAAAGTAATTCCTCCCTTAACGGAATGGGGCAGGGCAAGGAGTTTAGAATTCACTTGATGCAAGGTTTCTGGATCACAGTTCAAATTATGGACATCCAAGTATCCATTATTTTTTCAATCCTGACACAACAGAGACATCTGTGCACTCAAGTTGCCTTGGATCTGATAAGATGCTGATCCCCTTGCATTGACTTCTATGTGGTGAGACTGACACTAATGAATAGAAAACTACCATTTCAAAGATGTTTTCCAAACTAAACTCATTCTCAGAAAGGCTCCATTCATTCAAACAAATATATTCTAAGCACATACTATAACTAGGTGCTGTGTGTATACAATATACAGAACCATACGAAACAAAAGAATGCTGACTTTTCAAAACCGATCCATTTTAAATAGGCTTCTAAAATCAGGACATGGCATGGGGCTTGGCTAGATGTCTGGGTGACAGTCTTACTTTTGAGGAACTGGAATGGGAAGGGACCCCTGACACATGATCAGGAGAAGACCTCCAACCGCCAATCTGCTAACCATACATTCTTTGAATAAAATTATCAACAAAATAAGTACTGCAAACCAAAATGTTAACTGAAGAAGAATAGGGGGGGGAAGATCAGAAGAAGGGAAAAAAGGCTGAACTCACCGGGACTGTGGCAATCCTTTTTTACTGAGATCTGCCCTCACACGTTCTCCTACATGTCTGTAAATTTCCACTAAGCTGTTTATTGCTGCATCTCGAACCTAGATGTAAAAGAAGAGATCTTACAGCTGCTCAGTGTCACCCCACAGCACTTCCTGCTGCGACACAACAGGCTACACACCACCCCAAGTTAATCACCAGTTTACCAATGCAATTGTGAGCACAATCCTTTCTAGACATTTGACCAGATGAAGCCATGGTTAAGGTTTTACTCTGTAAGTACAATTCCAAAGAGTAAAAAAAAATCTAGGTCCCATCCCTACATACATATTCAAGCCCATATCCCTTAGTTTTTTTCATTCTTTAAGATGATGTCAAGAAACTAGACTTTTCAGGGCAGCTTTCCAAATTAGAATACACTATAAATAAATAACTTATACTAAAAACAGAACACAATGTGTTCTAAATTTGGGTCACACTCTTAGTGAGGAAGGAAAATGGGTAGTACTGGCCATACAGAGCCCTGTATTCAAGCTCACAAAAGCCGGCTAGCATGGCTCAGCAGTTGAGCATCAACTTAGGATCCAGGAGATCGTGGTTCGATTCTGGGTCAGAGCACATGCCTGGGTTACGGGCTCTATCCCCAGTGGGGGGTGTGCAGGAGGTGGCCGATCAATCAATGACTCATAGTTGATGTTCTTATCGCTCTTTCCCTCTCCTTTCCTCTCTCTGAAATTAATCAAGATATATTTTATATTTATAAAACAAAAAGCTCATAAAAATATTAAAAATGAAAAGGGGGGGGGAATTCATGGTCCTAGAAAGGAAATGGGAAAAATTCCATATATTCTACATTTAACACAGGACAGGACGTAATAAAAAACATTTTACACAAGAGTACAAAGAGCTCGTACAGTTTAAGGGTGGGAACAAGCACAACACAGGATACCAAGAAATGTTTTACGAAGGAAGAAGGAATCACAGAGAGCATTTTACCAGGTAAAGATGCAATGAGACAGGTTACAACTGAGGTACAACCTGTACAAAGGCATGAGAGCAGCGTGAACAACGTGGGCTGAAGGAAGAGCAATAAGCAGCCTAGCCAAGCACAAATACAAACTAAAGCAGCAGCAATAAATAAGGCTCAAGAAACAGAATGGAATAAAAAAGAAAGAAAAAGAAAAACTAGGGGAAACCTGAATATGGACTGTCTATCAAACATCATTTTATCAATGTTAAATTTCTTGAATGTGAAAATGGCAATATGGTTATATAAGAAAATACCTGTTGTTAGGAGAGGCACACTAAAGCATCTAGGAGTAAAAATATCATGTCTACAAAGACACTTTCAAATGGTTCAGAAAAAAGTGTATTTCTGCCTACCTTCAAACCCACCACAAACAGAACCCTAACATTACAGGCCATTAGGACTGCAAAAGACAAGAGAACTACTTGCTGGGCCTGAGTTGAAAACTTTATAGAATCTGAGGTCTTTAAACCTACAACCATCCTCACAGGACCACTGTGGGCTGTGACACAGAGGAGGGCATGGAGGCTGGGGAGGCTAGCCACCAGCTGGTCCCACAGCAGATAAATGGCCTAGTGGGGAGCTAACTTCCGCCTCTGAATGCAGGCCCACACTCTTCCCACCTTACAACACTGCCTTCCACTGCGGGAGGTCAAAATAAGGATTCCTATGAAGCCTAAAACTCAAGGGAGGCCTCACCTCCAGGGAAAGGATGCCTGTAAGCTGATGGGAAGCCAAACCTACCCTGTCCTCGGAAAACAGCAGCACAGACCCAGCTAGCCTGCCTCAGAGAGCAGGTGCCACAAGACCTGCCCAGACTCAACGGGGCGCCGTGTGCACTGCACTGCCGATGGGGCCTAGAGCCCCCCTCCCCACTTCTCAGGTGTTGGTCAAGCCCTGGGAACAGGCTGTCCTCCCTTTCTCATAGCACTGTCAGCACAGCCCAGTCCAGGTCCAGCTGCAGGGAGCACTGAGACCAACAGTCTTCAGACATTTTATGATGCTCTTAGGCTTTAAAGATGTGCATCAGGCTCCTCAGCTGGAAAAGGGCCTTCCAATTGTGTATGTTGTCTTAGACAGCAATCAGCCTTTGCTAGAGCCACTGTCCTCGCCAACAAGCACAGGCCTTGTTCCGCAATCTGCACTCAAGGGAGGAAACTCTGTTCTCGTATCAGGAGGTAAATCTCCTCAGTGTAACATAGAGGCCAGGGATGTAATTCTCAGCAGTGAAACCTGATGGGAAGTCTGCAGAAAACTTCAGGAACATGTGTCTTCACCCTTGCAAAGAGAAATGCAGGACACTAAAAACCATGAGACACTTACAGAAAAATGGTCACTGGCAGGGTACTTGATGATATGAGAGAATTACTCATTCCTGGTGGACAGGAGGGATAATAGTGTTAAGGTTATGTTTTTGAAGAAAGAAAGAGTCCTTATCTTTTAGAGTATTTAAGAATTAAATGAAATGATATCTAAGATTTGCTTCAAAATATTGAGATGGGGAAGGAAAAGAGATGAAACTAAACTGGCCTTGTCTTAGTAGCTGTTGAAGCTCAATGAAGGACACGTGGAGATTCACTGTCATTCTCACTACTCCTACCTAAGTTGGAACCTTTCAGTACTGAAAAGGAAGAAACACAGGAAGCACCAGGCTTTCATCTATCAGGCCTGCAGCTGGGCTGTCCCTGGCTGTGCCCGAGAGGAGAGCTGCAAAGGACAAAGTCCAAAGACTGAGACAGTCTCTGGGGAAATCACTGTTTACCTAACAAACCCTTGAGTCCCCTCCACATTCTCCCCACTGCTCTAGCGATTCTGAGTCAGGATTTCAGTTACTTGGAGACAAAAGCATCCTAAGCACATACTCCATCTATCTACCTGTGGGCCACTCTGGGAAGCTTCTGAGGGCCTTCCAGCTCTGAGTCACTCTCACTCGGCAGTCAGATCAATATCCAAATGAACTCGAATCCTCGAAGGCAAGAATGTCAGCAGAGTTCACACTCAGTGTCAGCAGCCTCCTGCAGAGCAGGAGAACTCTCCACACTAGAACTGAAGGCCCTGGAGTGCAGTGGCAGCACTGCTAAGACACAACTGTCCCCTCTGGTCTGAGACATAAACAGCTAAGAAGGACAGGTCATTCAAATAGCTGTGGGGTGTCTACTCAATCCTACAACTTCTGGAAGGCAGTCCTGGGACAATGATGAGGCAAGTTACAGTCCTGACCCTCAAGGGCCAGAGACCAGCAGGAAAGACTAATGAAAAAGTTAAAGGCAAGAGCACATAGGAGCAATGATTATGTGGATCAGTACCAGAGAAGCAGATGGAAGTTTCCTGGCAGGAGGGGTCCTGCGAGATGTTGCTGTTAATGCTGTGCCTGCACACGTGTATGTGCTGATGAAACACTCCAGAGGCAGACATGAATATACAACTAGCCTGAGCACTTGGTCTGGAAGACTCTGGCTCTGTCTGCTCAGATTGCTGGCAGCTGCCCAGAGAGCACCCACCTCATTTTACCTTCCGTGTCCATCTCCCACAGGCCCAGTCACATCCCCTGTGAGGCCAAGTAAGGAACTACATTAGGAACAACTAAGTTCAACTAGTCAGGCTGGCTTTTCTGTTCTACTAAAGGATACCAAGTGGCAGCAGCAATCTCCTCAAAGTGTGACCTCTGTAAAGGGCTTTTTCCACAGAAAACAAAAATGGAAACACTAAAAAGGGGAGGAGGAAGCAACGCAAATCACTTGGTAATTTAGAATTTTTAAATAGTTTATTTTTAAATTGATGTTGAACATAAGGTATGATTCCATAAATAAAAATATCTAGAAATTGTATTTCCAATGTTATATATTTTTAATGAAGGCTGAATAAGAGGATGAGCGGAAAGAAGTAGGCACCAGCTGGGGAGACGGAGACAGTGGGGCAGTGAGCCTGAGAGGCCAGGGACAGAAAGAAAAGCAGCAGCAGAGCAGCAGCGAGGGGGTGCAAAAATGCACCTGGGGTTAAGAGTGAGGCTGAAGAAAGGATAAGACAATGAGTGGGAGGTGGCCCTGGGGCCGGTGAAAGCAGGGGACAGTATGGCATAGGCTCCCTGGAAAGCACTTTAGCAATCATTAGTGAGGCCTGTTTGGCCCTGGCCAGGAAGTCAGTTGGTCAGAGCGTCACCCCCTTACGCCAAGGTTGCAGGGCACATACAAGAACCAACCAATGAATGCACAAATAAGTGAAACAGCAAATCAATGTCTCTCTCTCAAATCTATCAATAAATATTTTAAAAATAAAAATAAATAGTGCCTGCACACGTGTATGTGCTGATGAAACACTCCAGTTGTTTACTATACAACTATTTGGAAAATTTGCATTCCAATTTTCAGCCCCTTTATCTAATGAAGTGTTTTCTTTTTTTCTTTTTAAATATGTTTTTATTAATTTCAGAGAGAGGAAGAGAGAGATAGAAACATCAATGATGAGAGAGAGTCATTGATCGGCTGTCTCCTGCATGTCCCCTACCGGGGATCGAGCCCACAACCCGGGCATGTGCCCTGACCAGGAATCGAACCGTGACCTCCTGGTTTATGGGTCGACGCACAACCACTGAGCCATGCCGGCCGGGCATGAAGTGTTTTCTTAACAGTCTGTATGAGCTAATATCATATAGACAACTCGGCAATGAACAGAACTAACTGAGGTGGGAGCTGCAGTTCTGCCGCCCAGACTTGGAAAGCTTCCAAACGGCCAGGTACCAGGTCACAGGTTACCAAATTCTCTCCCACCCTTTACGCTCAGGAAGTGGTGCTTTGTTTTCATTGTTTTTTGTTGTTGTTCTTAATTTAGGTAAAATTTGCATAAAATATCTACAGTTCTTAAGGGTCCAAGGAGTTTCCACAGGTGTACACACCAGTATGGCTACCACTCAAAGTAAAATACAGAACGTTCCCATCAGAAAAGTTCCCTCAGCCCTTTCCAGCCAATCTCCCCCACCCCACAGGCAATCAGTGTTTGACTTCAAACAGCATCGGTCACTCTCCCCTATGCCCACCCTCTTTTGGCTGCAGAAGTGGTGGCCAGAGTGATATGATCCTGGAGGCTGGTCTGGATGGCAACACTTTATAGGCTCATGAAGTCTCATCCCCAGGTAGAGAAGAGGGCAGGCAGAGTGGACCACAGTTACCAATGGTATCTTATAAATGCTAATGGGCATTAATGCTAATTATCTTAAACAATAAGCAGGGTTGCATAGAGATGAATAAAGTCCCACCCACCTATCAGGTGTACACAGAGCACCAACACGCATCTTAACTGTCTAAAACCAATTATCTTTCTCATGTAAACACACTCACCTGGCTGTTTGGATCTCCAAGTAAATTACATATATGTGGCACAATCTTGCTTAGTGTCAAAGTATGTGCTCCAGAGCTGAAAACAAAAGGAGTATTTTATTACTGGTGAGAACAAAGAAGAAACAGAAGCCACTCTGCCCACACTCACCCCCTCCTCTCCATCCCCAGGGCCCTACTGCCACCTCAGACCCAGTGCTCATCTTCCCATCTTCCCCATCTCTTTCCCATCTGGTTCTAAAACAAATGTACTCGGAGGCCCCTTTGCATTGAGTTCAAAACCATTAGTGCTTCTCACTGACATGTCCTCTCCCTGGCACTAGGGCTCAATCCGATCTGGCCCCAAGTCTTTAAGGCCAAGCCAGAGCCCCAGCTTTTCCCAGTCTTGCTTGCCTCCCATATGGCTGTCTCTGCGTTACTGTTGGGTCATGTGATGGTTCCTATTTTGCCCAGCCCGGCATACTCAACTAAACTGGAAGTGCCTTGAAGGTTCTCAATTCTCCATCTGTGCACAGCACGATGCTACAACTGACATTCAGACAATAAGAGCTGAATGCAAAGACTGATAATGTGGTTGCAGAGGATTCCAACTAAACAGTGCCTGCTGAGAATATTTATTCACAATGGCTCATCGTCAATAACTGCTATCACAAATACCCTTTGTGAATTAACACTCTCTGGTAATCTGGTTGCTTCGTCAGGACAAATTTCTAGAAGTGAAACTATTGTGACCAAAGGCTAGAAACATTTTTAAAAGCTTCTCATACATATGGCCAAATTTAATGGCACTAAAGAGGCTGGCACATTAGGAGGGTCAATTTTACCTGGTGATATGTTATAATCCCAATTTTGCTTTTAAAAATAATCTAACTTTACAGGGTGGGATAAAATGCACCACAGTTAATATTGAGTATCTGAAGATGCAAGAACTATAAGTAATCAAAATGTTCTTGTATACGTAAAATTTCTACAATACAATCAGAAGATGAAGAACCAACAATGGTTGCCAGAGGTTAGGGACTGACTACAAAGGGGCAGCGTGAGGAAGCCTGGGGTGATGCACAGGTTTGTACCTTAACACTGGTGGCAGTCACATGGAACTACACGTGACAGCACTGTGCAGAACTGCACACATGTGTGACTGGAGGAATGTGAATAAGCTCTGTGGACTGTGTCAATATCAATTTTCTGGTGTTGTCATTGAATAGCCAAGATGATGACAATGGGGGATGATTGGGGCGGGGTTTTCACAGCAGCTCCCACTATATTTCTCTACAACTTCCTAAAATCTATAGTTATTTCAAAATAAAAAGTTAAAAATAAAAAAGCTTAGCCAAGGAAACCCTCAAGACCCACCCAGACTTACGCATTGAGAGTGGCAACGAGACAGACACATGTGCCTTCCCGAGTCCGGAAATTCTTGTGCTTGAAGCCTCCCAGCATTCGGTCCCACACGTACTGCAGATGGCAAAGGACAGGTGAAAAGAAAAGAGGAGGAGACTTCTGCAGCCTTTTTTTAATATGGGCCAAGAAAAGAGGGACTCTCAACAGGTGTCAATAAGTTCCAGCCGCTACCAACCCATTTAGTCATCTTAAGAGAATATAAAAAAATGGTAACTTATATTTGTATATCAAGTTAAATTTTTTCAAAACACATTCCTTTATATAATTGCATTTAATTCTCCCAACAACCCCAAAGGGAGGTATAGCTGTCCCCATTTTATGGGTGAGGAAAGGAAGGCCGAAAAACATTGGGTGACTTCAAAGATCAGATAGTCATATTGCTCTCCCAGCCTGGAACAGCTGTCTACACCCTATCCACAAGTCAAACATGCTCAGCTTTGAAAGCCAGTCTAGTTTTTACCTTCCCTAGTAAGAATTTTTCTGATAATATTCTCCCTCCCCAACAATGTGCAGTTGGATGCTAGAAGGCAGGGCTGTATCCCTCTGTCCCAGCAGTCCCAGCTCACTAGCAGAGACAAAGGCTCCAGCCAGGCCTCCTCCTAACACCCCAAATACCTTAACTGCTCTTTTCAGAGAAATATAGGATCAGTTACATAAATGAGCCCAAGTCTATGGATTAACCAAGCACTCAAGACCCACGTTAAGTCCACTAATTTATTCAAAATACACCCTTTGCTGCTATTTATTATTTATTTAAAGCTATGAAAATTTTCATCTGAAATACACCAGGTTATAAGAAATAGTTTTTCTACATGGAGTAACCCACTGATGTTAGGGGAGCACACACACATCGCTGGCCACAGTATGCCTCCCTTGCCTTACCTGGGGATTAGCAGCTTGATCCATGATCTTTAGCAGCAGAGTCTGGTCTTGCTCTCTCACAGAGTCTTTAGCATCTCCCAGTCTGTCTATTAAACTTGGCAGCACTGGAAATCAAAATGCAAACTGATCAAATGAACATCTGGTGGGGAGTGCAGTGCAGTCACCAACTGTTGATATTTCAATTAACTGGGAAGATAAAATCCTGGCCTAAATGAGGTCCATCATCTAAAACCATAGATCCCTATAGTACTCCTCTCCTTGTTAAAATCCATGGGAACTACTTAAAGAATCAGCAAAATCCTTTTTGCATGGGCATAATATTTGCCTTCTTCTTTAACGTACCTTCCTCCAGCCAGTTCCCAACATACTTTTATGCTGGTGAAATATTAAAATGGGTGCCAATAGAAGACCTTTGCAGGAAAGAATCAATACAAATGGAATTCAGGTAAGAAAGAAGGACTCCAGCGTATTTGGTTGGGTGTAGAAAGAGCAGGCACTTATGGCTCAATCTACATTTTGTCTCTTTGTGTTTTAATTTTACATAACACACATGCATGCTTATCAAACAGAGTCCAGCTTTCCCATGCCTCCTCCCCATGCCTGGGCGTGGGCCATTGGCTAGTGCTGCAAAGGCACTTGCATTCCAGGTCAGATTCTTTTAAGAGTCTATGAGCCTTTCTTTCACAAGAAGTATTCCTGAACAATTCAGTTAATTTAGGAGGAAAATGAAACACTATTAAAATATCAAATTTCTCAAAGTAAGGGGATTTTTATTTGTAGATGGACAGTTAATGCCAGAATGGGAAAAGAATTCTTGACCTTATCCAAAGGAGCACACTAGCCATAAAGTAACATACTACTCCTGTACCCACTGAATCAGAGACATCTATAAGGAAATGTCTGCACACACAGATCTGCTCAGTGCTTATGCTGTCACGATAAAATCCCAGAGGTCAGGAATTCAAGAGATGACAAAATCATCTCTAGATCTAGAAAACCTGTGGTTTTTATTTCATTTTACTGACATTGTTTTCCCTTCAAAATAAGAGAGAGATCACTTAATACACACTTGTAAATAACATTTACAATCAAACTGAAAACGGTAATACCAATAACAATCATCTGGGAAAAATATGACCGCATGGGATTTGCAGGACCTCTCAAAGAGGAAAAACAATGCCTCTCAAAAGGGAAGGGTCAGGGACAAGCATGACTGGCCAGCACTAAATTAGGACAGCTAATGTGTACAAGAAATAAAAGAATTAGTTCTGATACTTCGTATTGGAACACAAATGTTGGAAGAAGCCCAAGGAAAGGCCTGGGGGGCGGGGTCCAGGAGGGGATGCGGCAGCAGCCGGAGGCAGAGGTCTGGGGAGAGCCCGGGGGGCGCAGGCGGTGGGGCAGCCCCAGCAGGAGGCCGAGGACCAGAGGGGCGGGTTAAGGGGTGGGG